GAAGCGGTGAGCAATATCGAACCTGAAAATGACTGCTTTCGTGCGGGAAGTCGCATCAGTGCTCGTACAGTAACCTATCGACTCGATCAGAGGCAAACTACAGTCGTCGGGTCTTCTACGAAACGCCTGCTCACGTTTGACACCAACATCGCGTCTCGGAAACGAAAATTCAGCCTCGGAGGTCCGAACACAGGTTCGGAAATTAGAATTGGCCGCCATGACCATGCCCACGGTAAAAGCGTCGTAGCTTCGCGAAAGCTTTTATTTCACACGTTCAAAGTGGTGTCCATAGAGTCTAGAAAGAACAAGGAACACATCGGTGCTAGCGGCGATGAGATACGACCAGTATTAATGAAGGAAGTGTCTATTCTGCCGGCAGCCGGCAGAATAACCGGAGGGGGAAAAAGTGCCGGCAGTAGTCGCCTATTGGGTCTCGTATAAAACGGATTGTAAACACGCCTATTCCGAGCTGTGGATTAGCTCAGTGGGTAAGATGTGCGCTTCGTACACAGCAGGATCTTAGTTCAATCCCCCGAGAAAATTTGTTTTTTTTTTTTTTCTTCGGACTTTTGTTTTTTGTTGAGGTATTAGGCGATACTTACGGCATCCCTCTTTTAGAATTAACACTACAAAAAGAACGCGCAAAAAAAAAAAAACAGAAAAAACACCAGAAATCAGCCGAGTTCTCCGAGCGGTTTTACGATAAAACAACTTTTGCGTTTGCTATCTCGAAGAAATTTGACACACAAACAGTCCTACCTGGTGCGAGACCCTTCCCCAACAATTTGATAGTTGTACGTACCTATAATGGTTTTCTAATTACGAGCGAGCGGCAGCTCTTTGAAGTCTTGCTCGCGCTCTGGTGAGCCTTCAAAGGACCAGCCGCTCCGGCGAAGGCGCGCGCCGCACGAGATGAATGAATTAAAATAATCGCGCGCGCATAGCGAACGTTCCTTTTACCCGAGGGAGCGCTTCAGAACAAAAAAGCAAATTGTGGTAGCAAATGATGAAGCCGTGAGCAATATCGAACACGAAAATGACTGCTTTCGTGCGGGAAGTCGCATCAGTGCTCCTACAGTAAACTATCGACTCGATCCGAGGCAAACTACAGTCGTCGGGTCTTCTACGGAACGCGTGCTCACGTTTGACACCAACATCGCGGCTCGGAAACAAAAATTCAGCCTCGGAGGTCCGAACACAGGCTCGGAAAGTACAATTGGCCGCCATGACCATGCCCACGGTAAAAGCGTCGTAGCATCGCGAAACCTTTTATTACACACGTTCAAAGTGGTGTCCGTAGAGTCTAGAAAGACCAAGGAACACATCGGTGCTAGCGGTGACGAGATACGACCAGTATTAATGAAGCGAGATCGAAGAAAGGATCGGTGCCTAAAGTGAGGAAAGCGAATGGCTGGCTTCGATGTGAAAACTTTCAAACGCCGTTTATTTCGCGAAACTCGCATCACACAAGAAAAGAAATCGGTCTCTGTCCAGTCCAGGGGCGGCTGGGAACAAGTGTCCCCCATTTGATATCGTAAATTCAAGGTCGTAATATAGATTTCAGAAATTCAATATTTTCAATGGTAAAACAAAAGGCACCAGGTGGCGGGATTTACCGACCGGTCGGAATTGCTCAGCCGCACTCATGGATCCATTCATTCGAAACGGGTCATCTATCTATTCATTCATAAAAAATGTAATTCCTGGCCGTGTTTTAAAATTAACGAAATTATACTGCGAGGTAAAGCTTCTGTACACCTGGCGTTTTGAAACCTGCCTGCGTCCAGCGTTCTTTCATTTCTGCTGTCACGTGACACGATCCGCCCGAGTAACTCGGGTTTATTAGGGTGAGATTTGAAACACAGCCCTGGTTTAATAAAACCAAACTTAGAATTACGGGAATCGTCTTATTTTTGAAAACGATGTCGTCGAGACCCGTGTTCCACAACAAGTTTAAATTATTTAGGTCAAGTATTTAGAAATTTACCGCCCATTCGTGGTTCTGGTTTGGTTTTTGCAAAAAAAGCAAATGGCTGCCGCGTGTTTTGCTCGCAACCGGAGGTGATTCAATCGCACGAAGCTCGGAAAGTAGGCTAGCTAGGACATTTATTTTAACCAGGGAGTAAGATTATGTTCCGAGGAACATTCGAGGCGCGTCTCATCGATGTAGGTATTCTAAAAAGAAAGTTATCAACAGAAGTTTACGTGTAAGTAAGGCTTTCACTGTACGATGTTTTGACTTCACATATGCTCGTATAAAGAAAACTACGATAGCTAGAGGGTTCTAATTCGCAGCGAATGATCGCGCTCTGAATATAGACGCACTGTTAAAATTTCATTGCTCCAGCTAATCTAGAACTCGTTATATTCGCGAAAACAGGTTTTGGGACTCTGCTCGGAAATTAACAAGCCCGACCAAGTTCAATCGTTCGCCTGTGGATATTCAAGACCGCTGGAGTGCATTCATCGATTGTGGTCGTGAAAACAACATCATAGGAACATGTGTGTGCAGTGAAAGCGTGTCAGCTCATCTCAATCGAGACTCATCGATCAACGGGGAGGGTGTCCCGAGCACAAGTGGATGGATATACTTCAAAGAGCTGCCGCTCGCTCGGAATTAGAAAACCATTAAGCTATCCAATTGTCGGGAAAGGGTGTCGCACCAGGTAGGAGTGTTTGTGTGTCAAATTTCTTCGAGATAGCAAACGCCAAAGTTGTTTTATCGACCTAATAAAACCGCTCGGAGAACTCGGCTCATTTCTGGTGTTTTTTCTGTTTTTTTTTGTTGTTTTTTTTTTAGTGAAAAAAGATGACTCTTCAGATTACCATTTCTTTTAGGTAATTGAGAAGTTGCATTAAAGAAACGGCCTGCACAGTAAATACAAATGGTTCTATTGCGATTATTTCATAATTGAACCAGAAAAGCACATTAATGTTGGCCTAATAAGAGAGTCGGCTGTTTTTTATGTACTGCTCATGTCTAGGAAACGAAGAGTGCTAGAGCGACGATTCATTTTTGATACGAGTGCTTGCTTTCCTCCTGTAATGAACGAGCCCAGGTTGGTTAACACAGCTGGTGTCAAAGTTTATGTACGAACGCAAAAGCTGAAGGTAGTCCTGATTTTTCGAGCCTTTGAACAGTGGCGTGGGGTTTTGTAGTGTCTGAGAATAAAGAGGCACTGCAGACAAGAAGACTCTGTCCTCGGTGTTGCTTGCCCACCCCCGTAAGATGTGGAGACACACTTCATTGAAAACCTACGTGATTTACTAAGACGGGGGTTTCTGCAGAACCCCGTAGGGGGCTGTGCAGAGAATACAGGTCGACATCAAGCCTTCAGAATTCACAGGTACCATTCGACAAGAATGCTGTAGCTGGACTTGAAACAAGCCGACGTGGGGAAAGTACGGAAGCCGAGAAAACAAATGTGTCGGCCAAGCCGTAGCAAGGACGTCCCAGCACGACTGCGGACAGCGTTATCCTGGCTGTGCAAAGTGGACGTCCCTCGGAGACAAAAGGCAGACTTTTGGTATTCCGCAGTAACCATGCCTGCGTTCAAATTTTGGCCGTCAAGGGAAAAGGGACGTAGCTTGAGGGTTCCAACTGAACAGGTAGCAAGCTAGAAGGTTACTCGTGCTTCAGTTTAGCTCATCTTGCGCCAGAAAGTGCACAAGGGGACGAAATAGAAAGTGTCGGGCCAGTTGTACTGTAGGGGCATGTTTGTTTGTTTGTTTGTTTATTGGAACTTTTGACAATACAGGATTGTCATGGTGCTGAGGCAAAAGGTGACAGTAAGTCACCTGACCAGGCCCCTAGCACCAGACTACACTTGCAGCAGATGCAGCAGATGCAGCAGGCAGACTAGTGGTAGAGTGCTATAGTTAACCATAAACAAAAACAAAAAATACGCAGTAACTAGATCACTACACTACATACGCTCTTGCAATGAAAAATAAATAATTCGCAACATGCAACAAAAATATATGAACTACATTACTACAATTACATCTGTACACATAATTTAGAAGACCACAGTATTATG